TGGGTCATCCGGGACAGAGGCCGTACAACGTACAACGACGCACTGCCACGATCCACAAATGCGGAGGAGACATCGCAGCGACGACGATGCCACTCCGCTACCCCTGACGTGGTTGTCTGGCTTGGCCCACCTGCATGTGAGACTGTACTTACTTGATACAGCTGTCGTGGCTGTGACGGTTCCACCTGAAGACGGAGGCTTGTGTTGCCTCCGAAACGTCGTGATTTTTTTATTATTTTACTTTTATTAATTTTAATGTTTTACCTACGTGACTTTACCGAAAAAACCTAAGAATATGAATCCTTGCAGTCACGAAAGCTTCAAATCTAGAAGAGACTGTAGCCGTTGCCTTGCCATCGACACCAGCAGCCGTACGACAACAACAAGAAGAAGAAGAAGAATCTCCGGCGGCCATGGCAATTCGTCCTGGTCATCGCCACTTTCGGAAATTTCGCCAGGAAGTGAAAATCTGTCTCGGAGGGAGGCGAAGGTGGTGGGGTGGGGTGGGGGGGCTGACTTCGTTCGGTGCTTTAAAAAAAGACCAACGAGCCGTGAGCGCGCTGCCCCCCCCCCCCCCGCTCTCTCCCCTAATCCGCTCGGCTCCAGGCGCGCGCGAGAGTAGAGGGAACGGATGACGAGCGCGCCGTGCCAATGCGCAAGACATCCGAGGTTTAGAGCAGACAGGGCACCCACCCCCACCCCCGCTCCCCCCCCCCCACAAAAAAGACATGCCCCGATCAATCCCACCTAAGCATCACTCTACCCGGGGGCTCTCTCTTTTCAACACCTTGACGCACTCTTCTCGTTGACCCCGCGAGGAGAGGTGTCACTCAAACGTTTGAAGTGCCAGGGATTAGTTTTAAGAGGAGGGTGGCGGCGGCGGTGGTAGGTGGGAGGCGTCGGGAGTGGAGGAAGAGAGAGGGAGCCGAGGTGGCAGAGGTGAAGAGGAGATGGCTGGCAATGCGCGTGGAGACGGGAGTGCTTTCCGTTACGGCACCTGCAGGTTCACCGAGCCCTAATCGTGGCGTTGACAGCTTTGGGCAATCTCTGCTCTTCATCAGGCGCAATTTGGCCTCAATGTATATCCCCTGTCGTATATAAACGGCGGAGCTGTGGGGCAATCGACTGGAATTCCCGGCGTTGGCTAGCATCGGTTGCGAGCGGTATTGGAACGGGTCGTGCCTTCCACTCTCTTCGCTGACCAGCGTGGTGAAGTCTGCTAAACAAAACAACAAAACACCCCACAACTGACACGGCGTGGCGTGGCCCTCATTCATCATTGGTAAAACGAGAACGGCTGGATGTTATTTAACGTGTTCTTTTTATCCATAGCACCTGTGCAGTGTGCCAGCGGCAGCGCTGGCGAACACTGACAATGAATACTTGCGCGGACAAAAGGGGAGAAAGGAGTCCGGGCAAAGCGCAAGAGATTGGACGAGTAGCGTAACTCACAACCTCATTCTCTTCTTGGTTCTTTCGGTAAAGTCACGTAGAAGGGACATAATAAAATAATAAAAATAAAACATAATTAAATAATTCTCACGACGTTTCGGCCACAACGCAAGCAGCCGTCCTCAGGTGAAGAACAGGTCTGTCGGAAAGGCAGCTTCAGACGCTGCTTGCGTTGTGGCCGAAACGTCGTGAGAATTATTTTATGTTGTTTTATTTTTTATTATTGTATTATTTCCCTTCTACGTGACTTTACCGAAAGAACCAAGAAGATGAATCCCTGCAGTCACGAAAGCTTTAAATCGAAATTTAACCTCATTCTCCTCCTCCTCCTCTTCTCTCAACCAAGGGCCAGGGCCGGCACTGGTAGGAGTCGTTTCTCCGTGTCAGTCCCCTGGTCGTTTGGAACGCGCCCAACGTCATCCCGTTGCACATTCGCAGCAGCATTCAATCTTTACAGACTTTGAAGAGACACTTAGAGGCGCGACCTATTTCCGAAAGGTCCCTGTACCTCTTTCGGTCATTTATGGCCGTGAAATATTGTGTTCGTTACAAATTACATGGTTATTATTATTTGTGGCTGGGGTATGGGGTTGTGAGTGGGCGAGTACTGCCGTGGCTGTTACCCTACCAAAACTGTCCAACCCCTATTTCTCCTGTCGTGACATACGGACAGTTCATCTTCTTGGTTCTTTCAGTAAAGTCGCGTAGACGCTGTCTCCCCGACAGACCTGGTCTTCACCTGAGGACGGCTGCTTGCGTTGTAGCCGAAACGTCGTGAGAATTCTTTTATTATGTTTTTTTTATTTTATTACTTCCCTTCTACGTGACTTTACCGAAAAAACCAAGAAGATGAATCCCTGCAGTCACGAAAGCTTTAAATCGAAATTTATACGGACAGTCATTTGTGTTGTTGTTGTTACCAGATTGAAAGTATTTTTTTTTACATGTTTAAAAGCACAAGTACGCTAATTTTCCGTGTGGCCATATCTCAACATCATCAATTCCTTTCCACGGACGTTGAATCTAATTACAACAAAAACAACAGGGCTTCCGTCTTCGCGAAGCGCTCAACCAGAATGGACGAGATGAATTGAGGTATTTTTTAAAGCAGGTTTTTTTGGTATTTTTTTTGTACCTTGGGCAAAAAATTCGCAAAATATGTGCAGTAAACGGCTTTTATTTATTTATTTCAAATACCAAATGTCCACACGACGTAACCGGGGTTTAATATATCACTCAATATGTTCAGTGCCCTCTGACAGACTGGAGTAGACACGTGACTCGCAGCCTCAGCCATTGCAGCATTTTAATCTGAGTTTAATCGCAATAGTTAAGACAATGCAGCGTCTTGTATTTGCTTCTAAGTTTATATATCAGCCAATGGTAAAATTGGAGTGCGGGCATGTTCATAAATCATTGGATTCCCATGACATCTGAAGCAGAGTTAATTGGCTAGCCATACAATTAACCATTCAAGCCGTTGGCTTATTTGTTTAAGCACTTGTAAGTAACCCTTGCATTTCCTTCTGACCTTAAAACCGCTCGTCTTGATACAGCAAGTGGAATATTTATTCTGCAACTCAATTATATCACAGTTGTGTGAAATAATTAATTTAACAGACTAATTACACTCGCAATTATTCTCACAGTGTCATCAGAATCATGGGCTGTTTATATCTTTTGAGAAGGATCTCTGTTCGATTCGGTGTACCCTACTTTTGTTTTATCATGAATCCGTGATTCCTCGAGTTTGTTGAAGCCCCAAGACTGCTTGTTTTGCTTAAATCTAGAGTCGTCCATTGGCTCTGGAAATACTCAAGAATGATCTTCAACATATTGTATGTACCTTGAACTTCTTTCGCACCGTATGCAGCCAACCGTGCTGATCGAGGGAGGCGCGTGGGAAGGACAACACACTAAACATAAAAATCAGTCCTAAAGAACCGAGTTTTCAATCGAGGTGTAAAAAAATGAACCCGTAAAAACAAAGATTTTCACTATAAATCCTTTATATGCGTGGCGGCTAGAGTCCTCTCGTCCTCTGGCTTGAGATGGCTGCCACCTATGGGTCAGATGATTGCATTGCACCATTAAGCAATTGGTAATTAAATAGAAAAAAAAATTCCTAAAAAGTTAAAAATTTTGGAAAATTTTTTTCACGAAAATAATTTGTCACGCACAACGAGTCTGTGTGCAAAATGTCAGCTCGATTGGATCACGGGAAGTGGGTTAAAAAACGACCGAAAATTTTACACGGTCGTAAGTGCGCAAGCAAGCAAGCGAACTTAATATAAAGGATTTAAAAATGTCTCCTATGGCAGTGACGCGGCCCATGAAGCTGCTCCTTCTTATCCTCGCCGTCGTCGTGATGATGTTGCTGCTGTAGAACTCCTCTCTGCCTTGACTGTCGGTCGCGTTTGGCCGTCCACCCACTCCTCCCCGTCTGGAAACGGAGCACCCCCCCCCCCCCACGCATTATGCACCCACGCGCCTCCGCATTACTCAGACTCCCCCCCCCCCCGCCCCCATGAATGGGGCTCTCACAATTCCCATCACCTCTTTTTCAAAGTGGAAGATTGGCTCATTTGTTTCTTTAAAGAAAACAGTAACGTAAGTAGGAAACTGAGCCGCGGCGCATGAGATTCTTGATAAAAGGGGGGAAAGTCCTGGGATTTTCTTTTTTTATATTCATGTTGGGTGTTTAATTCATTATTTGTGTGCAGTTTTTTTTTAATATATAAATGGGGACAAGGGGAACTGCCAATCCCCACTGGGTTGAGCTGCTCACTTATCCCGGTGCCAACTGCCCTTAAAGCAACCCGAGCCTTCCGCTGGAACGGCGGTGGCACGGTTTCAGTGACCCCCTTCAAAGTCCCACAAAGAAACGGGGTGGAGAAAAAAAAAAAGAAACTTTCACACACAAAACGAGAAATAGCGAGAAGGTAACCGCAAAAAAAAAAAAATTACGTCACGCTCCGCGGGCCCCTGACACATTACCACTTACGCCTCGTGGCGTAACCGCCGTGTGCGATGGATCCCATGCCCGCCACCACGCTTGGTCTGCGTCGCGTTTCTTCTTCTTCTTACAAAAAACAGGACACCTGGGCGACGAGGGGACGGACTGGGGGTTGTTGCCTCGGGCTTGGGTGTCGCCGCCTCGGAACGGTCGGAGCGAATGTCCTCCACGGTCACAATGGGGACGCAAGCCAAGGGAGAGATATTCCCGTGACACGCTGAATGGAAACACAATGCCTCGACTGTGGTGTCATTTTGTGTGTGTGCGTGTTTCTTTTTCACGTGCAGGTGTATCAGAGCTAACTGCCGCGCATCAAGCAAGCGGTTTAGCGGTTGTGCCAACAAAAGGCCCATATTAGAGGCTAGAACACCTCCCCCACCTACCCACCTCCAGCCCATCGCCCCACAGACCAACTCCCCACAACCCACATCCCTGGCGTAATGTGCTCACAGCTGCGCCACCGCTCTACACAAAACACGCACGCATCCACACGCAGGCAAAACATGCAATGGTTCAGAGCACACGGTTTTGTTTTGTAAATTTATAACAGCCGTATAATGATGATGATAAAAAAGCGTAACAAACACAGAAAACGTTTAAAGGATACAGTATTGTTACGGATAACATTCAGATATATAGTACGCAGTATTAACAATAAATGCGCAAGTTGTTTTCGGGTCTAACACACACAAAAAAAAACGTAGTCAAACAAAAAACAGTTTAATAAAAACACATTTCATAGAAGGGTCCTGCGTTTTTTGGTGTGTTTTTTTTCCTTCTGCTTTTGTCTTGTCCGCAGTCGAGGCGTCGAAGCCTCGACTGCGCCTGCTAGGCACACGCGCGCGCGGGCAGGTGTCAAACTGGTCCCACCGTCGCTGCGAGGTCTCCTCTGACACCACCAAAAACCACCGCCATTCGCCACTAAGTGGCGGAGACGTCACCACGGCGCTTGTGCCAAGCTAGGTGCACGTTAAGGCCACGTGAAGTGTCGAACGGCTCGCTGGCAGGGGGTCACGGGACAGACCCAGCGGGTGCCACGGGTCGACTGACTGAGATGAGTGGCCCATGCACCACCCGTGTCCCCCTCCTGTGCCAACTTGCTGTGCTTTAGCCACTCGGCGCTCTGCTCGTTGTTGTGAGCGTCGCTCCTCTGACACGCGTGCATACGCGCGTACTGGTAACGCACGAGGGGGGAGGGTGTTAACGAGACTGGGTAAGAACAAAACGCTGTACAATTAAACGTTGAAATCGAAGGTACAGACGTTATTATTGCGTTGGAGTTTTGTTTTGACCTTGCGGGACTTGTGAAAAAGGCCCGTTTTTGTACTAATGTTTGTGCAGGAAAGACAAATCGAAGCGTCAGGGTGGTTTTACCAAAACCGGGCCAATGTCTTCCCAGCGAATGTGTCTGTACCTCAAATATATTGGGGAATATTAACATGATAATGTAATGGGAAGGCTTTCATCCAGCAGTAGTGGATTTATCATGCCTGATGATGATGATGAATGCAATGAGGGCTTCATCCAGCAGTGGATTGATGATGGCTGATGGTGATGAATGCAATGGGGAGGCCTTCATCCAGCGGTGGATTGCCAAAGGGATATAAATCATTCTAATGCAATGCCAGACACATCATTGGCTGTCAAAAGCCACGGCCCCAATGAACACGTTTGTAACAAAACGCGCGCATTTTTACACGAGTCGTCTCACACCCGCTAGAGTTATCCAAATGCTTTATTTTTGTAATAAAAAAATATCATTCTGACCTCTTGAGGTTTTTTTTTTTATAACAACTATGCGAGGTGAATTGCATCAGCACAATCGTTTCGTTGTTTCTCTCTCCGCAATGAACCAATGACCTCTCCAGGTGTACGGGTTAGACAACAGCAAAGACCGGTCACTCGCGTGAACGACGCTCCCAGAAAACAGTCGTGCCCGTTAAGCCCTGCGTTGTACTGTACTCCTAGGCTCAAGGCATCCCTCGCACAAGAGAGGGGGGGGTGCAGAGAGATATTTGTAGAATAATCTTGCAATGCCTCGTGCTCCACATCGACTCCTTTTATTTAATTCGTTTCGTGTACTTTCAAAGCGCTTGTGAATAATAACGATGACGACGACGATGGTGATGATGATGATAATAATAATGATAAACGATAATAGTGATGAGGAAAACAACGAAGGGAAAATCAACGACGTCTTCACGAGTTTTTCTGAGAAATCTTGATCGTGACCGTCTTCACTTCGGTGTACTCCTGCAGGCCGTACTCGCCCCTGTGGCGACACAAACCAGGGTCGGTTACTGAGGCTCTGCACGAGACGTGTGCATGGACATTATGTAGAACTTCTTGTGCGCCGTACGTGGCTAACCGTGCTAAACTATTAACTTTTTTTTTAAACCATTTCTTTTTAATTTTACCGGGTAAGGTCCCACTGAGCTATGAAGCTTTTTTTTCAAAGCGACCTGGTCACAAATGATAGCTCAACAAAGTGGCTCATCACGTGGAAATGTGTAGCGGCCAAATGTTCTAAACACGTGACGTTGTTTCTAAATGTGGAGGGATAAACCGGAGGACCCGGAGAAAAATCCGCACGACCACGGGGAGAGAGACACGCGAACTCCAAACATACAGCAGGCGTCAGGGTCGTAATCGAACCCACGACCTCCTGTATACCCGGCGAGGTAGTTAACATCTCCTAGCCACCGTGATGATGAGGATGAGAGAGAGAGATGCAAACTCCAAATATACAGCAGGCGTCAGGGTCAGGATCGAAGCCACGACCTCCTGTATATCAGGCGAGGTAGTTAACATCTCCTAGCCACCGTGATGATGATGATGAGAGAGAGAGAGACGCGAACTCCAAATATACAGCAGGTGTCAGGGTCGTAATCGAACCCACGACCTCCTGTATATCAGGCGAGGTAGTTAACATCTCCTAGCCACCGTGATGATGATGATGAGAGAGAGAGACGCAAACTCCAAATATACACAAGGCGTCAGGGTCGTAATCGAACCCACGACCTCCTGTATACCCGGTGAGGTAGTTAACATCTTGCCACCGTGGCGCCTAATTCCGTGCTAATCGGGGATGTGGCGCTGCACCTTCTTCCCAGCCCGCCAAAGCTGCTCAGACCGCTTCATTAAAAATATAAAATAAATATGATGAAACAGAACAAGACGCGATGTAAAAATCGGCGGCCTTCCGTATTTAGAAGCTCTCTGAAGTACCATTGCTCAGGGCCGTGCCACGTGCTGCTCGAGGTGACGACCGCGTGAATTGGTCGAGGGAATTGGCAATTTGGGAGCGGCGTCACACGCGCCCCAAGATACTGCAGCGAGCACGCTCGATGGTTATGAACAGGTGGCGTTAAAACGAAAATGATTCGCCAACTGCGATCGGTCTCTTGCACTGGCAGTAAGAATGCTTGGGTGTAAGAATGTATTATTCACGAGGGGGGAAAAGTTCGTGCCGATGTAAAATTTTCAGAAAAATATATGATGAAGGGTAAACAATGAGGCTGCAAATCAGAATCATCCAATTTATTTATCCTGAAAGAATCCGATAATCTACAAAGCTCTTGTTCACAGATATCCAGTAAATATTGATAGGACGAAAATCAATTCGTGAACCCAAATGGCGACTCCGAACTTTGGCGGTGCACAAAATCAGCAAGACGAACGGATAATCAATTACCTTCATAAAAACAAACAGACACCAATGCTGATTGCAAGGAAAAGCCTACATTCTTCTTGTTGTTGTTTAAACATTCCTCGGTATAAAGTCCGGTTTTAAAGTGGCACTATGTACCGTACTTACATTTCACGGCCATTCCCAGACATCTTGTAGCCTCCAAATGGGCTCTGCGCATTCATGGCATTGTAGCAGTTGATCCTGCAAACAGCGAGCGGATGTTAAGCATCTGCACTTAGTCAAGCCTCTGACCTATTCACACCGCTGAAGGACCACAAATCCACTCACGCACTTCCAGCAACTTTTAACTGTGCCCACGTTGTTGATTACAAACTTGGGCGGCGTACCGGTGACCCTTGAACTGGAGGTGTGTTCAATCGTTGAGGAAGTCACATTTTCGGAATGCGTAGTTTCGCATTTAAATAAAATTTCAGAAACAATTCAGAATTATAATTATTTGAAATCTAAAAATAACAGTACCAAACATTTTATGAAAGGAAATACTGCATCATCGTCATCATGAACCGATATAATTTTATAATTTTTATCAGCCATTGTTTCTCCACTGCTGGATGAAGGTCTTCCTGCATCATCAAATACCGATAAATTTTTTTTGAATTACATACATATTAACAGCTCTGTTATCAATCCATTGCTTGATAAGGGCCTTACCACACTATCCGGATCATTTGGCCATACCTCACCACACTGCTTATTACTGTCTATTTGGTTCTTTCGGTAAAGTCACGTAGAAGGGAAATAATAAAATAATAAAAAGAAAACATTATAAAATACAATTCTCACGTCTGAATGACGCTGTCTTTCCGACAGACCTGTTCTTCACCTGAGGACGGCTGCTTGCGTTGTGGCCGAAACGTCGTGAGAATTGTATTTTATTATGTTTATTTTTATTATTTTATTATTTCCCTTCTACGTGACTTTACCGAAAGAACCAAAAAGATGAATCCCTGCAGTCACGAAAGCTTTAAATCGAAATTTGCTTATTACTGCTCAACCAAGGCCGAGGGAGCACAGACGTGAGGGGCCATATAAGTAGAGTACAACCGCATGGTGCTTAGAAAACAAAAACGGACGATTTTAAACGATTCCATTTTTTTTTTCTCCGACCCGTGCATTTCCCGACCGTGAGAAGCGCTGCGGCCCGCGCTTCGCTCGTTCCTTCGCCCGCCCACCCACCAGACGGTGCCGGCCTGCATCGCGGCCGAGACGGCGAGGGCGCGCTCCAGGTCGCGCGTGAACACGGCGCCCACCAGGCCGTACGGGGAAGCGTTGGCGCGAGCGACCACGTCCTCCAGCGAGTCGAACCTCATGATCAGCTGCACGGGCCCGAAGATCTGCGTGACGGCACGAAAGCATTGTGGGCTCATCTTCTTGGTTCTTTCGGTAAAGTCACGTAGAATGGAAATAATAAAATAAAAACATAAAACTTTTTTTTTCTTTCTAAAATAAATTTATTTATTATTTTATTATTTCCCTTCTACGTGCCTTTACCGAAAGAACCAAGAAGATGAATCCCTGCAGTCACGAAAGCTTTAAATCGAAACCATTGTGGGCTCGTGTCGCCGTCACGGTGTGGTGGCGAGTGGGCTCGTCGCGGCAAGGCCCGGAGCGGTCGCTCCCAACCTTTCTGGACCTGTGGACCGCTGCGGAACTTCAACAGGAGTTTGTAGACCACTTCCCGCAGCCTTGCAGGCCACAAGTGGTCCATGGACCATAGGATGGGACCCACTGGCTTTGAGGTTACGGGTTTCTCTCGGTGTATGCGGCAGTAGTAAGATGCGTTCCAAAGCGAAACCGCATTAGGAGACAGCTGCCTGCCGAGTCGCGCACACAGTGCACCGCGCACAGCGTTGCCCCACGTCCGACCGCATAGCCGCATGAGAGTCCATTCAAACCGCATAACGTCGGGAATTTTGCCTAGAAATATATTGGCCGCATATCCGCGAAATCGCACGAGCCGAGCCCGCACAACGCGCGGGAGGCCTGTACGTCACGCGATCTCTACTGATTTTCGCAATCTCTACTGATCGAGTGCTGTTCATTCGGCCAAGCCCAGACGATCACCGTCCGAGTGCGCACCTCCTCGCGAGTGATGCGCGCGCTGTCGGGCACGTCGGAGAACACCGTGGGCTGCACGTAGAAGCCTCGTCCTTCGCAGGCCACGCCGCCGCACTCCAAGTGCGCCCCCTCCTCCAGCGCGCTCTGCACCAGCTCCAGGATCTTGGAGCGCTGCTTCTCGTCAATCTGTGGAGTAGGGGGCCATCCATTTAGTACGTACGCATGGAGGGGGGGGGGGGTTAACCCAAATGCGTAGGCTTGCGTATGGAGGGTGTACTGACAATGTACGCATAGGAAAAGGGGAGTGGGGGTGAAGCCTCGATAATAATTTGTCGACATTGGACTTCAGATGAGCCACAGTTCAGTTTCTTCAGCTGTCAGACAACAAGTACTGCGGGAGAAGTGGGACTGTGGGAGAGGTGTCACTTGTATGTCACCGTGCCCCTGACTGCGAGCTAGCGCGCAGCTCAGCAAAATAAGTGACCAAGGAACGCAAGTTAATTATTTATTGCAGCCGGCGGTGGACGATCTGTTTGCTTAAACACGTTAATATTGTTAATCCTTGATCGTGTCTGCGTGGATTAAATATCGGCCGTTCAATAGGATTCGAGGGGGTGCGTCAAGTGTGCGTATGCAGGTGGGGGGGGGGGGTTGTTGTTGTGAACGTGGTTATGGTTGTTGTGCATGTTGTTGTTGTGCACGTGGTTGTTGTTGTGCACGTGCTTATTGCTGTTGTGAACGTGGTTTTTGTTGTGAGTTGTTGTGTATGTGGTTGTTGTTTTGAACGTGGTTGTTGTTGTGAACGTGATTGTTGTAGTTGTGAACCTGGTTGTTGTCGCGAATGTGCTTGCCGTTGAGCAATATGCTGCGAACGCGACTGTTGCTGTTGTGAACGTGTCTGCGGTTGTTGTTGCGTGTGCTGTTGTTGTGAACGTTGTGAACGTGTCTGCGGTTGTTGTTGCGCGTGCTGTCGTTGTGAATGTGAGCACGGGCTCACCTGCGGCCCGTGCTCAGTACTCGGGCAGAAGGGGTGGCCGACGCGGCGCACGCGTGCCCGCTGCGCGCTGCGCCGCACGAACTCGTCGTAGACGGGGCCCTCCACGTAGACGCGAGACCCCGCCGTGCAGCACTGGCCCTGGTTCCAGAACACCCCCTGGTGCGCCTGCTCCACCGCCACGTCCACTGCTCGCGGGGGGGGGGGGGGTGGTGGAAACCACGTCGAGTCAGCAGTGTCACGGCAGGGGCGCGTAACGAGCGAGCAACCAAGGCTTGGCGCTCCCCGCTGAATACTTTCCGGCTCACTGGTAGACAGGAGAGAGAGAGAGAGAGAGTCGGTGGCACGCGGCGAATGGCGAGATGTTAACCGCCTCGCCTGGTTTACAGGAGGTCGTGGGTTTTTCGATCCCGACCCTGACGCCTGCTGCTGTATATTTGGAGTTTCCATGTTTTCCTTCCACGTTTAGAATCAACGTGCGTCTCGAGTATTGGGCTGCTAGGACATTTCTACACGATAAGCCACTTCGTTGAGCTATCACGCGTGGCCAAGTCGCTTCTGTGTCTCGCTCCCAGTGGGTTGTGTGGATTTTCTCTGGGTCCTCCGGTTTGTGACGCGTTTAGAGAATTTGGCCGCTTAAAATTTTAACGTGACGAGCCTCTTTGTGTGAGCTATCATCTGGGGCCAGGTCCCTTCTGAAAAAGAGCAACAGTAGCTGAGTCGGCCTTGCCTGGTCAAATAAAAGGTTCAGCAGCAGCAGTAGTAGCCGCCACAGCCATAGCAAAAGGCACACTGCACGTGGGTGTTGTGGGTGCGGCTGAAGGGAGGCCCTTGTGTACGCCACCCGTCACCAAGCCACAACATGTAAAGTTGTATACACAAAGACAAATACCCCCGTATAACCTGATCAGATTCTTGGGGCAAGTGCTGTTAGCGAGCACTTATGAAGGCCGGCACGGCACACAAGGGTGGGTTCGGGGTGACCGACACAATGCCGGCCGCCTTTGTCTCCCCAATGGTGATGTTTACACACCACACACCAGGTACTAATTTGAGGCTGAGTCGACCTCGGGGAGGCCCATGATCGGCTCAGATAATCATCACTGGTGTTGGCCATCAGCGGGAATCAAACCCGGGTCGCCAGGTTCACAGCGCAGCATGCTAACCACTACACTATCACTCCCCACGTACACACACACACACACATATATGCATGTATGTATGTTGAACTTTTTTTGCACCGTACGTAGCCAACCGTGTTAAATATACACACACCGCGCGTCAAACCGCACGGAAAACCAGGCGATCGATTCATCATTAATATTTAGCATCAGGCCACGGAATATTGGCTGCGAAATCCCACGTCTTACGTTAAAGCAGGAGATTCAAGACCACACGCAACACGTGCGTGCGGATGTGTTTTGCGCTGCGTGGCACGGAACGGAACGGAGGGAGACTCACGGTCGGCGTCGGCGAACACGATGATGGGGCTCTTCCCGCCGAGCTCCAGTGTCACGCGCTTCAGGTTACTCTTGCCGGCCTCCTCCTGGATCAACTTCCCCACCTGCGTTACGCAAGGGGGTGCCGGCGGGCCGGGGCGGGGGGGGGAGCGAAACGGCAAAAAACAACGACGTGGAATTAAGGGACCAAAAAGACGAGAATCGACCGCCACTTCTAGCTCTCATCTGCAATGGACATAGATAATAGGAAAAAATCCATCCTCGATTAACGTCATTTGTCGTGGAATATTTTGAGCCGCACATGATGGGAGATGCAGGTACAAGGGCCGTGGATAGATGGCGTTTATAGGGTTGCACTGATTACGCATTAAGCGCTTGCCACAAATGAATCTCGTCAAGGAGCATAAACCATCGCTCAAACTCCAGTCAGTTTCGCAGCGGCTTTTGGCTGGCCATCGTACAAAGACGGTCACGGCATCGTGCGCTTTCAGATGCGCTTCTGTGGCCGTCTGGAAAGTTCTTCCTTCCAAATTAGGAAGCCACTGGAGCTGTGTACTTTTAAATCTAGATTCAAAACTCGTCTGTCTTTTTAATGCTTTGTGTGTTTAGTTTGTTGTCCTTTCCACACACCTCCGATTAGCACGTACATTGCTAAAGAAGTTCAACATACATTTCAACATAATTGAAAAGCCAGCAAAAATACTGTGAGGTCACGTGATCTTCAGTGCAACAACAGCTCCCTACTCATCCCCCCTCCCAGCCCCCTCTTACACCACCACTAGGAGTGGCGTGTAGGGTACTATCCAGTGGCATTGCAAGGCACCTGCCCACGCTACAATTACAATACACGCCATGTGTAAACGTGACCACACCTCAAGACGCCGTACAGAAACGGCGGGCTTACTCGCTTTTAGCGAGAGGCGGTCAGTCATAGACTAGGGGATAACAGGAAAGTGTTGAGCCTGGACTTCCATGGCTGCTACCAATTCCCAGCCACAGGCATTTAACCTGAATCCAAACCACGGTGAGCTACCTCCCCCACCCATCCCCCCATCTTCAACCATAACCTGATCACAAAACACAACTTATACGTGTAAGCATGACCAGGTCTTTGGTAAGAGTGGCCAGAGCTTCCATACATGATTTCTTTCCCCAGCAAGTGAACTGGCCATACATTCCTAAGCAGGACCCACCTGAAAATTCATCTTGAGAGTTGCCAGAGTACGCAAAGAGAGAGGGTGGCGTGTGTATTCTTTACGCACACCAACGCGTGGTGTCGGTGTGCGTAAAAATAATTTGTCGTCTCGCTTTGCGTCTTAAAAGTGACAAAATTATGGTTCAAAAGTTAAAGAAGAGAAAGAAAATCCTCGTACAATTCGGATCAAAGGTTCTCTTTTCCTTCTCGGTTTTACTGGGAGCTGTGGCCTCAAACTCCTTCGCACAAACGCCACGGACGTGGCCTCTTCTCAAAGTTTCCAAGAGGAGTCGCGCGAGCCGCCAAGGGGCCCGCGCGGCACGGGAAAGCCCCCGCGGATTTGAACGCTCGTCAACTTTAAAGGGCATGAAGGAGGCCGTCAAAGCTGAGGGTAAACAGGACCCCGGCGCTGGGGCGTTCTCTTCCACCTGCTGCTTCCCTCCTTCGCGTCTGCTTCATCTCCACAAGAAGCCCGTGTGCACGTGCACGGGTGTGTGGGTGTGCGGGTACGGGTGTGTGTGTGCACGGGTGCGTGGGTGTACGAATGCGTGGGTGTGTGTGCGGGTGCGTGGGTGTGTGTGCGCGTGGGTGTGTGTGTGCGCGTGGGTGTGTGTATGCACGGGCGCGTGTGTGTGCGTGGGTGTGTGTGTGTGCACGGGTGCGTGGGTGTGCGGGTGCGTGTGTGCGCGTCGGTGTGTGTGTGTACGCACGTGCGTGTGTGCGCAGGGAGCGTTCGTGCAGCGGGTTTAGCGCACTTTCTTCACGAGCTCGCCGACCCAAGTCCGATTCCCGCTCAACACCAACGACGGCGACGGAGATTTGAAGTGGTTCTGGGCCTCCCCCTAAAATGAGTCCCAGCTGCGGTGTGTGAACATTATACATGGGGACACAACGGCGGCCGGGTGCGGTGTTGGCCACCCCTCCCCATGTGCCGTGCGCTCGTCTTCATTGGGTTCTCACTATCAGCACTTGCCCCAAACATCTGTAAAGGCGATGGGGAGTTTTTTCTTTCGTCTTTGTGTGTTTGTGCATGTGACCGTTCGCGCAGTGGCTATCGCACTAAACTATTAATCCGGCGATCCGAGTTCAATTCCCGACCATAGTTAACACCAGTGGTGCGTGATCTCTGAACTGGCCCTAGTTCCTGGTACGTCGCGTGAGCGGAGGACGTCTCAACGTGCACGAGGAATCCTGCGGGAGCTCGACGGGCCGGTCGCCTTCGCGAGGCCGGGGTATGGCTCGAAGGTTTTGTGGGAGGCCTTCACGCAGCAGCGGACGGATCATGGCCGACGACGCTGACGAGCGCAACGGAGTGGCCGTCGCGTCCGAGGCAAAGCGTTGGGGGGAAACGTTTGCACGCGTCGCTGCCGGCGTGATATGCGAGCGTGGCGAGGCCCCCGCGTTTGACCCTCGCCGTGCACACTCAGCACATCCCATCTGGCGGCAAATTAGCGCTCACGCACAACGCACACGATGCGTTCGCGGCGCGCAACTGGCGCGGGGAAATAGTGGCGCTCACGTTCCCAGCGTTCGGGGCGAATTATCTCCCGAGCGTTTAAAAGAAAACACGGCACTTCGCTGCAAGTTACACGCGCGTTCTGCGGTTTCCTGGACGTGTCCTCGTAAAGAGTTTCCCGAACTTAAGCAATCGTTAATAAAAACAAATTACCGGACCGCGAGAAAAAAATAAACAAATTAAACCAACCCGCTCCCTAAATTCTTCCATCTTTCATAAATATGTCGTCTTACACAGGGGTAAATTATCAAGCGACGCACGGTTCAGTGCTGTACATTGCCCCCCCCCCCCCCCCGCGTTGTACAGCGCAGTCGCTCGTTCAGCACGACGTCGTCCGACGTTTCGCTCCAGGCTCGGAGGAATTTTTTTTAGTTTGAAAAAAGCTCCCCGATCCACCGAGCGGAGCGAATGCTCGAAGAGTCACGCGAAAACCCACGCACGCCCCGCCCCCCACAACCCACCCAGCCAGCCAGCCAGCGCACGACGATGTCGGGCGAGCTAAGTATAGCCGCCTGGCAACGTGACGGCCACGGCGTCCTTGAGAGATTGAGTCGCCAGTGGCGGGCGGGCGGGCGGCGGGGGGAATGCTCACGGCGTAAATCAACGCTCGCGGCCGCCTGGGCAGAGAGTGACCTTGGCGGAACGCGCGAGGAGCAGAAGCCGACCAGACCGCATCGCGAGGGCCCGCACATGTGGCAAGAGCGTGCCGGCGAGACGGAGAAGACGCGATAATAATTAAATAAATTGATTGCCCCACCCCCCCCCTCCCGTTTCCAGCGTTAAATTATTATTCTAATGAATTCATGTAAGAAATAATAATAATACCGTTAAACGTGAAAAATAGAAATAGGTTCTAGATTTGAAGCTTTCGTGACTGCAAGGATTCATATTCTTAGGTTTTTTCGGTAAAGTCACGTAGGTAAAAAATTTAAATTAATAAAAGTAAAATAAAATAAAAAATAATAATAATTACTTTTATTAATTTTAATTTTTTACCTACGTGACTTTACCGAAAAAACCTAAGAATAAGAACATAGGTTGGTTGGGTGCGGTGCAAGTGTTCACCTGGCACGGGGCAATTGGCAAAATGGGCCGCCGCGCGCGGAGACAGCGAGAGAGACAGCGCCGATGTAGACGATTCATCGCTCCTCATCAACGTAGCGCTCGGGCGTTGCTCGGCAAGCGTGGGGCGCGTTGCAGCATGCCACCGCGTAGGTAACATACGAGCGCGGGTAAATCTACTGGACAGCTGTGAAGAAGAGCTTCATAGCACATCGGATTTCCTCCAGTGCAATTCAATATTCTGATTCTGAAATCCGTTCACGTGGGGTTTGGCTTGCGAAGAAGGGAGTTTGGTGAAGCCCCACTCTGGCGATTGCTACGTTTCACTCGAATTCCATGAAAGAGGATCAATTCTGCTTTCGAATCGCAACCGGTGGCATTGTGTAGCTGGCATGGGTCATGGTGAAAGTCACCGCCCGTCAAGGTTTGCCAGATCTCCCTTGCGAAAATGTATCTTCGTGAAAGGGCTCTTACATCGTGATACACGAGGACGGTGAGCGACCGGGGTACACAGAGAAACACCGCTCTAAGTTGTGGTGTGAGAACCGAAACACTGAAAGTGACAAAAAGTGAGAAGGTGGGACGCTGGTGAAGGGTTAGTGGTAGGGCTAGTACGAGTAGCTGGCTGGCAAGTTGGTTAGGGTTAGTGGTAGGGCTAGTTCTCGTAGCTGGTTGGTTATGGTTAGTGGTAGGGCTAGTACTAGTAGCTGATTGGTTATGGTTAGTGGTAGGGCTAGTACTAGTAGCTGATTGGTTATGGTTAGTGGTAGGGCTAGTACTAGTAGCTGGATGGCTAGTTGGTTAGGGTTAGTAGTAGGGCTAGTACTAGTAGCTGATTGGGTGGTTGGTCAGGGTTAGTGGTAGTGTTAGTACTAGTAGCTGGATGGCTCGGCGGTGAGTTGATTAGGGTCAGAGCCATCGCTTGCATGAGTGTTTGGTCGGTTAGCTGGCTTGGTTTATGGATAAAGCTCGAAATTGATTGGCTCGTGAACTCTGCACTCAATCTGCTTGCCCCTCCTCCACACTGCAACGTGTGGAGCGCTCTTCAGTTCGAGGACACGTTGTGGTTTCTGGTGCTCGCATTTCCCCCACTCCACATCTCGCGATTTTGTCAGCGATGCTGCGACTCCTAGATGACTCTAGCGCGGTTACTGGGGTTGGTTGTAGTGCGGTTAGGGGCCGTCCATAAATGACGTCGCGCTATTTTGGACAATTTTTGACCGCCCCTCCCCCCCCCCCCCTTCGTCACACGACGTCACAAAAAGTCAGACCCCTCCTCAAATATGACGTCACGAAACTCTGCCCCCCCCCCCCCATAAAAATAAAACATGCTACAACTCGCTTTAAACTATTGTCATTGTAGTGCGTATTTAATGTGGCTCTGCACTCTGATGTTGTAGGAGAAAATGTTTGATAATTGGTTCTTTACCCTTCTATCTGGCAACAAAACTGACACCTTTTTGCAAGGAGTCATGTTTGCATAGACCGCAATACCTGCAGTCATAATACAAACAAAAGAACATAACTCTGATATTGTGCACTGTCCTTGAAGTTGATTGGTCCACACCCGAGACAGCTTTCCTTCGAGCCTAGTCTCATATGGGTTGGACCAGATGACGCCAAAAGGACAGTGCACAATATCAGAGTTATGTTCTTTTGTTTGTATTATGACTGCAGGTATTGCGGTCTATGCAAACATGACTCCTTGCAAAAAGGTGTCAGTTTTGTTGCCAGATAGAAGGGTAAAGAACCAATTATCATATTTTTACTGGCAAATGAGGTCCCCATAGTGAGAAAATTTTTATTAAAAAGTCAATTTAATTAAGTAGAACGTGTTGTCTATATTTATTTAAAGTTGCGCATTTTGATGTGACGTCACATTTCTCAACCCCCCCCCCCCTTCGTCACACATCGTCACAAATGTCTGACCCCCCCCCCACCCCCTAGGTGCGTGACGTCATTTATGGACGGCCCCTTACCGTGGTGCCTGTGAGGTGCGGTTACCTCGGTGGAGCCGGTGAACGCGATCTTGTCGATGTCTGGGTGCTGCACAATCGCTGCCCCGGCAGTGGGGCCAAATCCCGGCACGATGTTAACGACGCCCGGCGGAAACCCGGCCTGCACACACACACAAAGACAAAGATCCCCCATGTAGCCTTACACTGACTGTTGGGGCAAGTGCTGTTAGCGAGCACCTATGAAGTCCGACACGGCACACGAGGAAGGGGGGTGGCCAACACCACGCCCGGCCGCCTTTGTCTCCCCAGTGGCGATGTTTACACACCGCACCATGTACTCATTTGAGGCTGAGTCGACCTAGGGGGAGGCCCAGGACCGGTTCAGATAATTGTCACTGGTGTTGGCTGTGAGTGAGAATAGAACTCGGGTCACCGGGTTCGTAGTGCAGCGCGCTAACCGCCACACTACCGCTCTCCACACACGCACAATGTTACACACACACACAACACAGCGATCCCCTATATAGCTTTAGCATACTGCTGGGGCGGCTTTTGGCGAGCCATCGGACAAAGGCGGTCACCACGTCACGCGCTTTCAGATGCGCTCCTTCGGCCATCTGGAACGCTCTTCCTTCCGAGATTAGGAAGGCACTGGAGCTATGCACTTTTAAACCATCATCTAGATTGCAAACTCATTCCTTTACAACCGATTTTTGTGTTTAGTTTGTTGTCCTTCCCCCGCATCTCCGATCAGCACGCTTGGCTACGTACGGTGCGAGAGAAGCCTAACATACATAATCAGCGTCATCAGTAGCAGCATCAACGCATTTAGAATGAGAAACTTTGGCAACCTGGTAAGATAACAGGATTGAGCTAAATAGAGTTGTATGTCTGCTGAACAATGGTTAAATGTGCAGAACGCACGATCTTGGGTAGTCACGTGACTTGTCTGTCTGGAAGTAGTTTTTCTCCAGAGTTGCACATCACTCCTGCAGTTTGTGCTATGGTGAGGCTTTGGTGTGGCAACTGTGCGTGAGAAATATTTTGGTAAATGCAACCGCATCTCAAGATGCTGTACGAATGGGCATCACAACTGTGATCGAATTCTGTAGACCGTAAACAACTTAACAAATTGTGCGTAATTACACAGTGAAAGTGTACGTTACATTTGCCTTACCATAGCCATATTGACAGAAAAAATGCGAATTCCATATTGTGAAGATCTTGGTATTTAAAAAATATATATATACTTTTTAATGAAACCTACATTAAATTTCGATTTAAAGCTTTTGTGACTGCAGGGATTCATATTTTAGTTTTTTTTTCGGTAAAGTCACGTAGAAGGGAAATAGTAAAATAATATAAATATAAAACAATAAAAAAACAATATTATTAATATTATTTTATTATTTCCCTTCTACGTGACTTTACCGAAAGAACCAAGAATATGAAACCTACATTATTTACATAAACAAATAGCTGAATTTGTGTAAAAAATGTGTGTGCGTATAACTTTTTTCGCACCGTACGCCGCCAACTGTGCAGTGCAAAAATCTATTGTATATTACTTAACGTGTGACATTCTTTCTCCCATGTGATAAAAGCTGCAATAAAACCACGCTGCGTCACTGGGCTCAGACCTCGTTACAACAGAGGTTACTATTATTGTTCTTATCATTACTGCACACACTGGACCGTTTTACTAATTAATTGTGTTTCTTTTTTTACCGTTGACAAGACGTGGCCCTCGGAGGCAGCGGGTTGCAATGTGGCTTGTGTAAATGTTGGAAATCCGCAGCTCGACAAATGGCTATAACGAGGGAGGTCACAACGCTGCAAGCCCCGGTCTCTTAAGCAAGCCGGTGTAACACCTGCTACGAGGCCTTATGGAAAATGTCATCCGCTAAACTGCCCCCCCCCCCAAAAAAAAAATATATTTGGGGTAAAAGTAAAAACAAAAAAAACTCAAAACAAAATCATAGAGTCGGGAGGAATTCCCTCGCTCGGCCGCCAACTGCGGTAATCAGCCGGGCGGTTGTTATTATTTTCTTCTTTTACCCTAAATATATTTTGGCAGTTTAACTCGCAGATGACATCGGTCATAAGTCCTTGTGTACACTGCATCTGCCAGCACGTTTGCAAGTGCGCCAGCTGTGCTTTAAGCACCTGTAACGTCTCCCGAGTGAACCGAATGGCACCAACAGGTCAGCCCCCCAACCCATAAGCTCATCAATCAGGAGGTGTCAGACCTCTGGCAAATGTTCCCCCTTGGGCCAAAGGACCTTTTCCAACGATCCGTTCTGAATCTCCACATATAGATTAATGTGTGTTTTTAGTCTATCGGCAAATTGGCTCTCAGCAGCATTTGTTGAAAGCCAATATTATCCATCAGCATGTGTGTATGTATTTATGTAGAACTTTTTCGCACCGTATGTCGCCAACCGTGAACTAAAGATATTCGTAAATATGCTTTTACCCATAATGCTCCACAACAATTCATAATCAGTCCCTTGAAGGGATAGCAGAGGTGGCGCTGTGATATCCACTTCCGTGGCCCGTTCTCCAACACCAAGGGGCATGCTGACCTATGGGAGTTCTGAGTGCATTCATTATCTCATAACATGACGCCGAGAGCACAATTGGAATACAAGTAGGGGAAAGATACCACAAATGTTTATACCTCTTGTGGAAATAAGTCACCGACAGAGCCACTTTTAGCAAAGCGTCCTGCTTTGATCGATCGGCCGGATTCGGCAGACGACAAGCGTAAAACTCGCAACGGGCGGCGAGAAGTCACGCCGACGAACATGGCCACGGGGCAGGGGGTGGCGGTGGGAGGAGGAGAAGCGGCCGATAGAGCCGTCAAGGCAAGCGGCGGCCGCGCCGGGCGGGTGGCCGCATGTGACACTAATTAACGCCGAGCGCTAATCCCATAACGAGCGCACTTAAGTGCGTGACCGACGAGTGAAGGGCGGATTGCGTTTCACTTCGAGTGGCTGGTGGACAGGCGGGCGGACGAGCGGTCGAGCGGGTCTGTGTCGGCAGTTGGGTGCTCACGGTAAATGTTTTTTGTTTGTTTTAACCAAAAGGGCAAGTGAGCGTTTGCACGTGCGGAGCGACGGTGCGGTGGTTTTCGGGCGCTACATAGCGATTCCCATGGCTATTGGTTAGATTCCTGGCCATCTACAACATCGGCAGCAGCAATGCTCTGGCAGTGTATATGGGCCTCTCCGTAACAAGCACCTGCTGCAGTTTATGACCATCACCGCCGGAGAGATAAAAGCGGTGACGCGGTGGATAGCGCACTGCACTACCAAGTCAGCAACCTGCATTAAATTCCAGGTCATGGTCTACATCAATGGTGAGTGAAATGTGAACTTATCCTGGGCCTCCCTGAGGTCAACTCAGCCTCAAATTAGTACACTGTCAGGCATGCTATTGGCTGGACCATGCTATCGGGCCTTAAGTTGCTCGCGGACGACACTTTTCCCCGCCTTGGTGAAAAAGCTAAGGTGGGGAATCTCCATGATACCCTATTGCAATGTGGCTTTAGGCCACGAGAAATTTCCAGCTGAGCATGATTGCAGCGAGCGCCCATGGAGGTCGTGAAACAAACGCAGCCGGCGCGCGGGCGAGGCGCAGGGAGGGAGCCGCCGACGAGGCCGCGTCGTCATCGTGCTCCGCCGGGCGTTTCTGTCTTCTGCAGATTTCAGTCGGTTTTTCTTTCTTTCTCATTTCTGCGGGAATGCAGGAAGAGAGCTACCGGCTTCGGACGCCCCTGTTCCTCGGCTTTTTTATTTATTTGCTGCCATGCAAGATAATAAACCCATCCTCGGGGCCTGTGCAAGCGAGTGAGCTAGCGAAAATAGAAACCCCCCCCCCAACTCCCGAGTTGGTTTCCAAAGCGATCGGGTTTCGTCCTCTGCTCCGCGCCGCCGCGCGCCGCGTCGGGTCCGCCGACGCAGCGGCCACGGCGGGGAAACACGCGGCCGGCGGTGATCGCTTCCATCTGTGCGGCAGCGGACGGACGGACGGTGCGACGAGCAGCAGTTGTGGCCAGCGGGCGATGGACATGGGGGTGGGGGGGGGGAGCAGCTGAGTGGGGGCGGGACAGGACGGGCCACGTTGGCGGGCCAACGTGAAGGCACGGGGGGGTGGGGGTACGTGGCCTCGACGAGATCGTGCGACAGTCCCCACCGTTCCCGGAGGGACTGAGTCACGGTCATCGGCGTCTGTCAGGTCCAGGCGACGGGAGCCCTTCTGATGTTTTCGCGACTCGCACGCGGTCCGACTTTCCGCGGTCGCCGACCGGCAGGTGAACTTTTTGTTGTTGCGCGCGGTGGCCCAATTTGCAACTTGAGAAGAGAAGGGGTTGGCGGATCGCGACGCCAACGATCCAGGCCGTGAGTACACGCGCTGCTGCAGCCGATGCCGTTAGCAAACGTATCCTTAAAAGGGAAACTATGGAGGGCACGGGGCCACGTTTCGCATGACGAGCCTCCTTCAGAGCAGAACAAAGAAGCCGTGGCTGCGCACTTGCGTGACGACAAAGCGTCGCCAACTCGTGCGGGGCGGCCGAAAATGAGCTTCGGCAGTCAAATTCCGAACGCGCCCAAAAAAAAAGAAAACGACGGCAATTTGGCAAAACGTTCCACCAATTATCAGCGCGCACTGCCCATACCTTATCTTCATCATCGGCCGCCAGGAAGATTGATCTCCTGCTCGGAGAAGGCTGCCCGACGACATCGCAATCTCCAGATCGTACCTAAATCATACTTAAACCCCCTTTAATTGCGACCGAAAACCCTACCCTCGATTTGGAGGTTAAAAACCTCCGAGCCGATAACGCCGATCGTTTCGAAGTGAAGGGCCTCGCCAATCGCCCCTCCGCGCTCCCACCACGAGTGCGGGACGTCTCCCGTGGGAGGAGGAGGTTGTGGGGAGGGGTGTTGGTGGAGGGAGGGGAGTATGAGGGGGGAGCGAGCATGAGGAGGAACACCGGTGTTTGCAGATGTTGTCGGAGCTAATTGAAGGTCATGGGAAGCACGTGCGGATTTTGGGCCATCGCGGACGCACGTCGCTCGCTCGCTCGCTCGGGGTGTGTGCCGGCTCCCATCATTGGCTAGCCGCCCGCCATCAATCCTTCATGCTACACAAGATAGTAGAGTTTTCTTGGAAAGCTCCGGAAGGCTGGTAAGCAGGCGAACAGAGCCTCCGATACGTTTAAAGTAGCTGCAAGTGTGAAGTGAAAGAATAACAAGAAAACCGCGCGCGGCCACGGGACGCAAAGTAGCGCCCGCACTGCCGCCCGTCTTCTGCACCGTAAGAGGAGCCCAGAGACTCACAGAGACTAACTGATAAAACCCACTGCCAGCACCACTTTTGCCCAATATAAATATAACCGGGAGGGAAATTTTGTCAATTGATATAAAAGTCAGCAGCGAGCAGGCGAGCGGGCGGGTGAGTGAGAGTGTGGGCTTGTACGGGTAGGTGAGAGGCAGGTCAGTGATCAGGCGAGTGAGTGCGAGCGTGGGCGAGCGGGCAGGCGAGTGCGAGCGTGGGCGAGTGAGTGAGAGTGTGGGCGAGTGAGCGAGAGCGTGGGCGAGTGAGTGAAAGCGTGGGCGAGTGAGTGCGAGCATGGGTGAGTGAGTGAGAGTGTGGGCGAGTGGGCAGACGAGTGCGAGCGTGGGGGAGTGAGTGAGAGTGTGGGCGAGTGAGTGAGAGCGTGGGCGAGCGGGCAGGCGAGTGTGAGCGTGGGCGAGTGAGTGAGAGCGTGGGTGAGTGGGCAGGCGAGTGCGAGCGTGGGCGAGTGAGTGAGAGTGTAGGCCAGTGGGCAGGCGAGCGTGGGCGTGGGTGAGTGAATCAGAGTGTGGGCGAGCGGGCAGGCGAGCGTGGGCGCACCTCGGCAATGAGCGCTCCCACGTGGAGGGCGGTGAGCGGCGTCTGCTCGGCTGGCTTCACGACCACAGTGTTCCCGCAGCTCAGGGCCGGTGCAATCTTCCAAATGAACATGAGCAGCGGGAAGTTCCACTGCATCACGAACGCACGCACACACACACGCACCACGCGTACACACGCACACACCACACGCACGCACCCACACACACACACCACGCGTACACACGCACACACACCACACGCACACACACATGCACACACCACGCGTACACACGCACACACACCACACGCACGCACCCACACACCACGCGTACAAACACACAAAAATTGCTCTCAAAATAAGTAGGGTCATTGCACAAAGTTACGTCACTTCTACAATATCACATCTGCACTTTTCCCAGCCAAAGTGCCATCATGCGGCATTGAGTGACAACACTTTTGTTGGCGCGATAATGCGTCAAATAATTACATCATCGATACCATGCGAAAATCGAAATATATATTTTTCTGAAATTGTCCTTAAAAATACGAATTCAGATTTTTTTGCTTTCAATACGAAACTCTTCCCGAGTAAGTGGGTAGCTATAGGCCCGAATGTAGGTGAGATGGGTGACAGCGTAGGTCGGTAGGTAGCCATACAAGCAGGGGCATGGGTGAGTTGAGAAAACAGGCAAGAAGCTGTGTGTCCTCCCGTGCAGGTGAGCGCCCACTGAGACTATTGCCTTCCTCGCAGGGAAGACGCGGTGAAATCTACACGGCTGCCCAGGGTCAAGACCGACGCACAGCAGGGAAGGGCACATCGTTCTATTTTTCCGCATATTTCTGACTCTCGTGCTGCGGGGGGAGGAGTGGGGGGTGGGGGGGCCACATGGATGGATGGAGGAGGAGGAGGGGGCCGGCACACGGACGGGTGGAGGAGGAGGAGGAGGGGGCCGGCACACGGACGGGAGCGCGCGCTCCGAGGCTGTGATCTCTGTGATTACAGCGGCAGGGCGGCGGGGGGGTGTGTCAGATGCCTGGCGTTGCCCGTGTGTTTATTAATGGGAGGGTTATGCTGTGATGGGCCAGAGGTCAGCTAAGGGGAGTTGGTGGTGGTGGGGGGGGTCTCCTTACCGGGATGATCTGTCCACACACCCCGATGGGCTCGTGCCGTGTGAATGTGAAGTATTCGCCATCTGGACACACACAAAAAAAAAACACGGTTATAGAAACGAGCGAGGGAAAATCATGCGCGCGGCGCGGATTACGCAAACGCTTCACAGCACGCGCTTGTCTTCAAAAGTCGAGTAATAATGATTGATGGTGGCGCCAGCCGATGGGTAGAGATCAGAAATAAATTGCATCCTCATATTTGCAAATGCTCCTTTTCGATCTGGTTTTGTGTTTTGTGTAATTCGTGGGCAGTGCTTTGGTCAACGCGGCCAGTGTCCAACAAGCCCAACGTCCCGACGTGTGCAGAACGACGCTGTACGGACGGGAAATGCGTACGATTCATGCGCTCTGAAGAAGGGCCATTGCCTGAAACGTCGTCTGCTATATATATTTTTTCCATTTAAAGCGCCACAGTGGGATTGACCAACGTGTTCAGCTGTTTCGTTATTTTCACGATTACAAACCCGCGGGAATTATTTAGCTTTTGTAAACGTAAAAACAAGCAAATTCCCATCCTTTTGGCTGGGCAATCTCCGCCGACTTTGGCAGATTTCACAGCTCTCGTCCGCTGCCTCACAGCTGCAGCCGAGGCAGCAACGGACCGCTGCTCCGCGAGACGTTAAATACCTCGCCTGGGATACAAGAGGTCGCGAGTTCAATCCCGACCCTGACGTCCGCTGTGCATTTGGAGTTTGCGGGTTCTATCGCTCTCTCGCTCTCTCTCTCTCTCCCGTGGTCGCGTGGATTTGTCTCCGGGTCCTCTATGTTGTCCCTCCAGATTCACAATCGACGTCACGCGTTGGGTAATTCTGGCTACTGTTATAATTGTCCACGTGGCAATGAGCCCCTTCGTTGAGCCATCGTTTGTGATGGCCAGGTCGCTTCTGAAAAAGAGCCACACAGCGCAAGTGCGCCTTACACCTGGTGAAATAATAATGTAGTCGACAGTTTATTTTCATCTCCGCTCTACTACTCGAAACCCTCGGCCAGTCTTCGCTCGATTTCCAGTCTGCCCCTCCCCTCCCTCCCCTCCCTCCCCTCCCTCAACTCCCTCACTCCGGCTGCTGTTTTCACCATCCGCAATCCCCTATGGCAGTCTGCAATACTTTTCACATTTTGTCTACGAATGGGCTGACTTTTTTTTGTATGCTGCAGTAATTTGTTCGACCCACGTTGTAATACGGAAATGTTTTTTAATTTAACGTTCATTTTAGTTTTGTTTGCGCTGACACAAGCAATTTCTTCTGCACCGCGGATCTTTTGTTTTTTTTGCTCCCCTTTCTACAAAGGTTGTTTTTGCTGTCGTGTGTATTTGTTCTGGTGTTGTTGTTGTACTTAGTTGTTACGCTATTGCTATTGCCATTTTGGTCACTCGCAAATAAGACTCAATCCTGGCCTCTTGAGTTCTCGGCTGGTAAAGCAAGATAAATCGAGCTCAAATTCTTCGCCCCCTTCACCTGCCCCCTCGTTCAAGTTAACGTTCAAGACCGTCCTCTTCTCTGCTGCCAGTCACCGACCGTCTCATCCTCTCCCCTGCGTCGCGTCTTCAATAAACAACTTCTACCGTAACGCCTTCGCGGCTTCCCCCCCCTCGCCCCCCCGTCTCACAGCTTTCGTGAAATCTGCAGAGCCAGAGTTTTCTAAGTTTGCGTCATTTGTGCCTTGAGTTTGCCGGACGTCGACACCCACTGAACTCGGCTCGGTGGGACGGGGCCCTTCGGGAAAACGCGGTAATCGCGGCGAGTGTCAGGTTCTTTTTTTTTTACCAGAGCTGGGATGTGCAGATGGCCGAGGGTAATTGAGAGCTCGCAAAGGGAAGCGGAGATACGGCACACAGCTACTTTGTTGGCAAAGACAGCATTGGGAGTTTCGGCTTATTCGATTGGACGCGCGCGTGCGTGTTTAAAGATACGCACGCGTATGCGTACACACTCGAAGACAGCTATTCAGGCTGCTGGGGCAAGTGCTGATAGCGAGCATGTATGAAGGCCGGCACTGGGAACGCTAGAGGGGTGGATGGGCCAGCATCATGCCTGGCCGCCTTTGTCTCCCTAGTGCCGATGTTTACACACCAGGTCCTCATTTGAAGCTGAATAGAGCTTGGTGAGACCCAGGACCAGCGCTGGTAATCGTCACTGCTATTGGTAGCTTACGGGAATCGAACTCGGGTAGCTGATTTTTTTCAGCACCAGTGCTGCTAACCACTGGCATCACCATGTACAACAAACACACATACATGCACACACACACGCACACCACTCCAGCAAACACGTGAACATGAACGTGCTATTCTTTGGGTCTTTCGGTAAAGTCACGTAGATAACGTCAAAGAAAATAACAAAAAACCACGACGTTTCGATCGCAACACAAGCGGTCGTCTTCAGGAAAAGGGGGTTAGCTTCTAAGGGCAAACTGTTTATAAAGGTTTGAAATGGGCGTAGCCCAAGTGTCAGCAGTATGGGCGGGGCAGCTAATGTTAATGTAAGTGGTGGGCAGCGAATGCGACGGTGGTGGGTTTTCCACCAATTGAAGGGCTGCCAGGTAAAAATTACCATGTCAATGTAAGATCGGTGAGCAGCCTCCATGGCGAGCGCGCTGAGGTGGCTATGTTAATGTGAGAGATTAGCATGTTAATGTGAGAGATTAGCATGTTAATGTGAGAGATTAGCGTGTTGATGGAGGGTCGCAGAGCCGCAACCTCTAGGTCGGCGCGCAAAGGTGGCTGTGTAGGTGTGAGAAATTTAACCTATTAATGTAAAATCGGAGCGCCGAAACTAACAATTAACATCGAAGGTGGTAAGATGGGAACATCACAGTCAGTTATCAATTAAACTGGTTGATAACGTCCTTCTAATGATTGCTCAGTTTGTACCCATCTTCTCGGTTGAAATTGTGTCTGTGTCTGTATATATGGATGGCTTCATGAACGAATCTCTGTTGATAGCCAGTAAGGTGCGCAAAGTACCTTCGTCTTAGAGAAATCAATTTTGTGTGAGCCCACCGCATTAAAACAATGATCAGCCACGGCCGAGGTATTGGTCCTACCGTGTTTCAGATCTGCCTTATGTTCACGAACACGGTCAGAGACATGTCGCTTAGTTTCCCCAATGTAACTACTGCCGCAGACACAGCTTTGGAGACGCCGGGGTATTGCATGTCAGGGATCACATCCTTCACAAATGGGATCAGATCACGAATTTTATGTACTGTGTTAAATCGGACCTGGATCTTGTGTTTGCTCATGATTTTGGACATATTTTTGGTGACCCCTGCTATGTATGGCAAGGTGATGGTTTGATTGGGTCCTCATATAGTTATTTCCCAACGGTTGGGGTGATAGCTTTACGGATTGTTTAGTCTGAATATTCATTCATCTTGAGAGCTTGGTGTACTGTACGTGGTCCAGTTCACTGGCTAGGTGATGATGGTCGGAAATACATCGAGCTCTATGGTGTAGAGTTTTTTATGAGGGAATTCTTCTGAGATGGATGGTGGTGGGAGTCAGGTTTTAGATAGGCATCCGTATGGGCGGCTTTCCTGTAGAACCAAACTACGTGACTTTACCGAAAGACCCAAAGAATATGAATTCCTGCAGTCACGAAAGCTTTAAGTCAAGATGAACGTGCTAGCCATTATCAATTCACCGGAACGGACAGGGTCATTAGCGCGAAATGCGCTTTGATTTTATTGTTATTGTGCTCAATTAAAACATGCGCACAACAGGCGAACATAACGGGAAAGGGGGAATCTGTGCCAGGCGTGCTTACAGAGATAACCTGCGCTGCCAAAACAGTTCAGCGCAGCTTTTGCTTGTTTGCGAAAACTGCGCGGTGATGGACTGATCCCACCGCCGCTATCGGCGTCGGACCATCCCTCCACCGCTGTCGGCGACGGACCAATTCCTCCGTCACTGCGTGCTATGGGAGGAAATGATCTGAAATTGCCCCTCAGCGGCGTCCGTGTAAAAAGTTGCAGCCCTTGCTCATGCCACTGCTGACGGAAGGGCCTCCCACCAGACTGAGATCCGAGAGAGAGAAAGAGAGAGGGTATTTGGCATACCCTTCGATGCTTGCCAGGCGTCCTGGAAAAATTTAATACCTTAACTTTACTTCAACCGCGCAGCCGTGACCTGCTGATCAACTGCGGTGAACCCATCATTGATTTTTGGGTCAGACCGCGACAAGCCTGACTCTCTCCGCGACCCATAATGTTCGTCGCAAACGCCTCCGTGTTTAAATTTACACTGCAGGGTAGACAAAGGCAGTGAGGGTGGTCGGCGGGGGGGGGAGGAGACGGCAGTGGGGAGAGGGGCAGGATTTTAAGAAACATGCACCAGTAATAATCTAACTGCCACAGTTTGGGCTTGAATCGATATAACGCAACGCTACCGTCAAACACTGCCGGGGACCCCGCGAAAACAAAGAAACATTGCATCTCGTACACGTGAAGCTTGAGTCCGAGCCGTAGACATTTTACTTCAGCTGCAAGGACCCCCGTGAGCTGTGAACAACCCTAGCAATGTCCTGTGCAGCCGATGGGATTGTTCCCACGCACTGGACCGCGCTTTGCGCTTCGCGCTTCGTGCCATGTGGCCGCGCGGCAAAATGCCGCATTTGCTCTTAAGGTCCCTGTGCATTAGCGGCAACGGGTGACAGTGTCTTGGCCTGCATGCATGCTATTTTTTTTTTTCGCTGAAGGACGTTCTCGTTGGCTCGAGACAAAGTTCGCACGCACACACGTGTGTGTGTGTGTGCGCACATGTGCGTGCGGGGAGCTATACGGGTGATCTTTGACTTTGTGGAGAGCGGTAATGCAGTGGTTAACGCGCTGCACAACAGAGCTGGCGACCCGAGTTCGATTACCTCTCACGGCCGACACCAGTGACGATTATCTGAATCGGTCCTGGGCCTCCCATTGGTCGACTCAGGCTGAAATGAGTACCTGGTGCGGAGTGTTAACATCGCCAGTAGGGAGAGAAAGGTGGCCTAGCGTGGTACTGTCTACCCACCCCCTCGTGTGCCATTCTGGCCTTCATAGGTACTGGCTAACAACACTTACTCCTATAGTTTGAGTCTATATGGGGGATCTTTGTCTTTGTCTGTATGTAAGGGGAGCAGTGGAGTAGTGGTTATTTCACCACACTACGAAGTCCAGTGGCCAGAGTTCGATTCCCTCTCACGACCAATAACAGTGGCGAATATCTAAACCACTCATACTTCCGTTGCTAGATAGACTCAGCCTTCAATGAGTACCTGGTGTGGTGTGTAAACATCAGTACTCGGAAGACAAAGACGACAAGGGTGAGGTGCTGGCCACCCACCCCCTCGTGTGCCTTTCCGGCACTTGCCCCAACTACCTGTTTAGGCTACACAGGGGATCTTTGTTTTCGATATACATGAAACACTATACTACTGCACAGTGGTGGAAACAACTATAGAAAATACTTCGTATGATTTAGATTGAGTTTTTTTACAAATGTAGGTCCATTCTTGAATTGTTGGGAGCGCGACTCCCCTCCTGGGAGGTTTTAGGATCCGCCCCTGCCACTGTCACACCGTGGGAACCTCCCGTGCAAGCGTGCACGTGTGCGTACGCGAGCGTGCGAGTGAGCGTGTACGCGAGCGTGCGAGTGAGCGTGTACGCGAGCGTGCGAGTGAGCGTGTACGCGAGCGTGCGAGTGAGCGTGCACGTGTGCGTGAGCGTGCGTGCGTACGTGTGTGAGCGTGCGTGTGTCCATGCGGGGAGCGATAGTGTAGCGGTTAGCGCGCTGCTCTATGAACCCGGCGACCCGAGTTCGATTCCCGCTCACGGCCAACACCAGTGGCTATTATCTGAACCGGTCCTGGGCCTCCCCTAGGTCGACTCAGCCTGAAATGAGTACCTGGTGCGGTGTGTAAACATCACCACTAGGGAGACAAAGGCGGTCGGGCGTGGTGCTGGCCACCCATCCACTCGTGTACCGTTGCGGCCTTCATATGTGCTCGCTAACAGCACTTGCCCCTACAGTCTGTTAAGGCTATACGGGGGATCTCTATCTTTGTCCATGCGAGGAACTCACCCACGGGAATGGTGCGCCCCTGGATCTTGTCGCACCAGCCGGCGAAATAGCGCAGCGTCTTGACGGCCCCGGTCACGTCCACGAAGAACGCCGGCAGGAAGGGCTTTCCCGAGTCCATCGACTCCAGAGTCTGTCAACCAGGAGAAGCGGCAGGGACATACGGGGGTTGGGGGAGGGTGAAGTATGGGGAGACGAGAGGGTTAGGGAAAGATTGGAGCATTAGGAGAGATACGTGGGGCTTAAATCTGAGTTCACGGTTGAACAGCAATTTGTCCGTTTCGTGAAATATCCATTTGTGCAAGTTAAAGATTGTTTTGGGATTTGAGTCAGGTCTGCCCAGCAGACCGCATCCAATTTACAGTACCTGTGTGGCCACGCCTAGTCACGTGCCTACGTCACTCTACCAGAGATGTGGAATATAAACATCTTCACAAACTGTTTTCAAAATCGAATCATCAAAAAATGTCTTATCTCGACCCAATTTTTAATGTGTGTGCGTGGCTGGGTGAGCGAGTGGGTGCGTGGCTGGGTGAGCGAGTGGGTGCGTGGCTGGGTGAGCGAGTGGGTGGGTGGCTGGGTGAGCGAGTAGGTGCGTGGCTGGGTGAGCGAGTGGGTGAGCGAGTGGGTGCGTGGCTGGGTAAGCGAGTGGGTGCGTGTCTGGGTGCATGGGTGGGTGAGCGAGTGGGTGCGTGGCTGGGTGAGCGAGTGGGTGCATGGGTGGGTGAGAGAGTGGGTGCATGGCTGGGTGAGCGAGTGGGTGCGTGGCTGGGTGAGCGAGTGGGTGCGTGTCTGGGTGCATGGGTGGGTGAGCGAGTGGGTGCGTGGCTGGGTGAGCGAGTGGGTGCATGGGTGGGTGAGAGAGTGGGTGCATGGGTGGGTGAGCGAGTGGGTGCGTGGCTGGGTGAGCGAGTGGGTGCATGGGTGGGTGAGAGAGTGGGTGCATGGGTGGGTGAGAGAGTGGGTGCATGGCTGGGTGAGAGAGTGGGTGCGTGTCTGGGTGCATGGGTGGGTGAGCGAGTGGGTGCGTGGCTGGGTGAGCGAGTGGGTGCGTGGCTGGGTGCATGGGTGGGTGAGCGAGTGGGTGCGTGGCTGGGTGAGCGAGTGGGTGCATGGGTGGGTGAGAGAGTGGGTGCATGGGTGGGTGAGCGAGTGGGTGCGTGGCTGGGTGAGCGAGTGGGTGCATGGGTGGGTGAGAGAGTGGGTGCATGGCTGGGTGAGAGAGTGGGTGCGTGTCTGGGTGCATGGGTGGGTGAGCGAGTGGGTGCGTGGCTGGGTGCATGGGTGGGTGAGCGAGTGGGTGCGTGGCTGGGTGAGCGAGTGGGTGCATGGGTGGGTGAGCGAGTGGGTGTGTGGCTATCGGGTGCCGGTGGAGCAGGAGGAGGGAGGCGTCTCACGGCGAGCGTGGTGCGCTCCCGCTCCACCAGGTCGGCGAGGCGCGACAGCAGCACCCCGCGGTCCGACGCGTCCATGCGCCTCCATGGGGAGCCCAGCACAAACGCCTCCCGCGCCGCCACCACCGCGACGTTCACGTCCTCCTGCATCGGCAAGCGGGGAAAACAAACACACACAAAAACAAAGAAAAACTAAGAAAAATAATAAAAAAGACAAAGGCCCTCACTAAGCCTTGACAATTGTCAGGGCAAGCACAGTTTCATACATATATATGCTTTAAAATTGTTTCGTCTGAATGGGTGTCCACAAGGAGCGATTAAGCCTCGGCTCATTTGTGGAAGTTCCATATTGACAATAAATTGTCTCGACGAGTCTCAAAATTCCTTTTCAGGAAGGACTGGACAATGGAGGTCTATCTCCTGCAGCCCGATGAGCATGTTTTTTTTTTCAAATCTCCACGTGATCCACCAACCCTCACATCCCTCCCGAGAGCCGGATGGCAGTCAGCAGACCAGAGGTCGCAACCGGGTACCCGATACCCGTACCCTACCCGATACCCGGCCGGGTACGGGTACCCGTTTGCGACCCTGGTGCGGCCGGGTACGGGTAGGCCGTGAGTCACTGGTGAGTAACCGTTTGTCACTCATTTCGGGTAGGGTACGGGTACGGGTAGGGAACGGGTACCCGTACCCGGCCGGGTACGGGTACGGGTACCCATTTGCGACCCTGGTGCGGCCGGGTACGGGTACGGGTAAGGAATCAAAACCCGATTGCGACCTCTGCAGCAGACTCACCTGGTCTCCCTCCTGCACGTCACAGAGCTTCTCCCCGCTCGCGGGGTCGAAGGTCGGGAAGGTCCTGCCGCTGATGGAGTCACGCCACTCGTTTCCGATGAAGATCTGCGGAAGTGCGACGCACAAACACGGTACCATTCACATCATCATCGTCGGCGGTGGCCAGCGTCTCTCCGCTGCTGGATGAAAGCCTCCCCCCCCCGAGCCCTCGCCATCTCTCATGTTCCTGCGTACGAGTCGATTTCGTCGCTCCATCTCAGTGGCGGATGTCCTCTTGCACGTATTCCCTCCCTGCGCAATTCATACATTGCCCCATCCAAACATACCATACATAAAGCCGTGATACACACATATTGATGAAGAAATGTAAACGCTATACAATGTATATTGTTTATATGCGTATATGTAACGTTGTTAAGTGCTCATTGAGACAAACTGACTTGGTGATGCTGCTTCGGCAGTGGTGCACGAGCAAGATTCGCAAATTGTTTTTAACACTTTTGTCAAAAGGACCGTGTGTGGCACTAAAATGATTAAATATATAACAGGTGACGTTTCGCGCGAGAGTCCTTCTTTATAGCACATTACAGAGAGACCTGAGAGATACGAGTTGGAGACTGGACTTGACACCATAGAGCCTGATGAGAATTTAAATAAACATCTGATGCCCAGCCTTTAAATTGGTATATAAGATAAAACACTGAGATAACGACACTCCGGTGAGAGAGACCTGGAAGAGATGCTGATTTAAAATAATAAACATAACGCCGAGATTTTGTTGTTGCCAAGTCCTAAAAACTGAACCTTTGCCAGTTTAAACCGTTCATTATGGTGACATCACACTTTTTGCGGGGTGGAATTGACAACTTGAGAAATGTTTACGAGAGTTTCGCATGCCTCGCATTGTGCTCGTGGGAGGTTTTTTTCTTCTTCTGTTTTACAAAGTATTTAAGAAATGAGGCCCATGGCACCTGTGGGGCCTGGCGCAGGGAGGAGCCTGAACGCCACTTAGGAATGACAAATCCGCCGCTTACGCCGGATTAGCGGGATTTAGGATGGGGACCCCGGAGGTTTCGGCGGCTTTTGTTTAAGCAAAAAAAAACTTCCCTCTGGCGAATAAACCTCAGCTGGAGGCACTGGCAAGGGTTGCCACCTCTGAGATGCAAGAAACCCGGGACATGTAGTGAAAAGGAGGATATAGAGGGGAGACAAAATTAACTCTTTTTATTTTTCTTCTTGGTTCTTTCAGTAAAGTCAGTAAAGTCACGTAGAAGGAAAATAATAAAATAATAATAATAAAACATAATTTAATAATTATCACGCCTTTTTTTTCCACAACGCAAGCAGCCGTTCTCAGGTGAAAAACAGGTCTGTCCGACAGACCTGTGGCCGAAACGTCGGGAGAATTATTTTATTATGTTTTATTTTTATTATTTTATTATTTCCCTTCTACGTGACTTTACCGAAAGAACCAAGAAGATGAATCCCTGCAGTCACAAAAGCTTTAAATCGATATTTTGATTTTACCAGATAAGGCTCATTATTACACAGCTGAACAACAAAAACAACAATTTAACTTTGAATGTTTAATCTTCTGAGAAGACTTACAGCTTTTCGAGGACAGCTGCCTTAGAAAGTGAATGATCCTGGCAAAACCATGACAGGTGGCAACCCGAGTTATTTGCAGCACTTGGACCTACAATGGACAATCTATCATTGCTGTGGGCCCCCTTGTGCTCCGGCTGTGTCCCTACTCGCTGCTCACACAGCATCAACATCGGACCTGCATCGTGCTTCTCAGTGCTGGAAACACAACAGTTATTGACGCAACATGACACATCTTCGTGTGTACCGCGGGGATCTTGCGCGTGCAGATGTACTCTGACCACAGAGGGCACTTCTGCGATTGATAACAATATTCCGAACTGCCAAGGAGTTATCCGCAGTGGACAAGAAGTTGCGTAAATCAATCCCCGGATTCCCACCGTTCGTGGCTCTCTCCACGACAGCTCTAGAGCCGCGACCGCGACGATCACGCTGGCGACACTCGGGGCGTGAAAGTGACGCCCAGGGCGCCGACACAAAACGCTCGCCGCAGTCTGTCCGCACGTCGCCGGCCCGACTCCGACGGCCAAGCCAACTCGGCGCGGCTGTCACTCGCGTGCGCACGTGGGACCCGCCGAGGGGCTATGCGTTTCTCGCCGAATGTTTTCCCGTTGGGCCCTGGCGCCTCTCGCCAAAACGTTGATCGGCGCAGGTTCGATCGAGCTTCCGTGGTGCTGTGGGTCGAGCGGGTATTCATTGGACACGCGACGCAATTTGGGTTTGTGTAGCGGCTAACCTCAAGACGCTTTGTACAGAAACGTTGATAGTAGTGATTGATGTATTGACGCTCTGTACAGAAACGGCGAGAGTATTGATTGTATAAGAGAGTAAGAGGCCATCGGCCATGGGCACAAAATAAAGTCCTGAGGCTGGACAGGGCCAAACTTGAGGTAGAGAGGTGCAAGATGGGAGGGAATGGAAGGGCAGCGAGCTAAGGGCTTATTTTCTCACTGGATATGTTTCTGGATCGTTGGTAACCTAGAGGATGGGTGGTACGTGACGAAGTAGCCACAGCCGTAAGTGTTAGATATACTGGATGTGCTGTGCCGGGTGCTATAGATTTTCCAGGATGCCGACCCGAACAGACCCGGCTGAAACTAAGGGCCTTGGGTGCACCTCAAGTCGGCCGGCCGCTTGCAGGAGCAGAAACCACCCCCCTCCCCAAAACAACAACAACAACAAAAACAAAACAGGCGAGCGGAACAGCCGAGGCAGGTTGCGAGTTTTGTTTTTGGACGCCCGGCCTGGCGTCAGCGAGGCGTGAAGAGGCCTCCACCACCCATCGCCTCCCTTTGACACCGCAAAGGGACAGCCAATGGGTGGCGCTCGGCATCACCGGCTACGGGGGTGCAGTGGGGGGGGTGGAAGCGACACGGGAGGAGGACGAGGCGTCTATTCAATGAATCCTCCGCTGCTGCACGGCTTTCCCCCCCCTCCCTCTTGCTCGTCGGACAAAATCAATAAAATCCCACGCGTGCACGCGCGCACACAAGCAGCACGGGCAGGCACCGGCGATGTCCCCCTCTGGTTTTCCGTTTGACTTTTGATTTTGATCTTCTTCTTCCTCATCCTCCTCCGCTGTCGTGGCAGCCAGATTTTTTTTTTAATTACGGTTTAGGTGTTAAAGTGACACGATGTGTATTTTTCTAATTAAGGATTCTCGCTCGCTCTCTCACTCTCTCGTGTGCAGTCCTTTTCGGCGGCCCTCCGTTCAAAAACAACAACAACAAAAACCAAGAAAAGTGTCGAAACTCGATTATTTTTTTCGCACGGCTTAAAATGTCTCCCCCTCCCCAAAACAACAACAACAACGTTGACAAGAAAACCAACAGCAGAAACAGCAGCGCGTCTCTGACAAGAGCGCGAACCTCCGTCTTAAAGTCCACACGCTCCGTCCACATCGAGCGGCTGCGGAGAGAGAGAATGACCGCACGTGTTTGGATGATTGCCAGGCTCATGCACGCCTGTGCGTCATTCAACACAAAGCGCAAACAAATACATGCACTTCTTGCTGTGTTCACGTGAAGACACGATACATTAGGGGTGTGTTTTTGGTTAATATTTGGTCGATGGGGAATTTCACCGCTTTGAGCCGAAAATATTTTCCTGAACGTAAATTATACGTTTTAATAAACGCCGTGGGTACTTTGCGTGGGCGGCGAAATTAATTTTGGGCTGTTTGGAAAAAAAAAATCCGCGTCCGACGGAAGAACCAGGGATGCACGCGTGACCAACACTAAAACCCAGACGCTGGAGCGAATTCTCAACGTGGGAATGTCTCCAGCAGGTCAAACGTGCCCTCGGCATCTTTAAACCGATGTCGTCGACAGCTTCCGCTGTAGTAACCCCCTCCTTAGTCAAGTAGCGCGCAGCGAGGCCGGGTATCACAGTTGGCTACGTACGGTGTGAAAGAAGTTCAACATCCACACAGAAATAGTACGGTTGGCTACGTACGGTGCAAAAGAAGTTCAACATATGTACGTACGTACGCAAGAGTGTTTGTCCTGGTAAAACCACGCCAATGTGTAAGATTAAAATTAACACAAAAGTGCCTTAAAAGCACGTCTGAATGTTCGGACGCACGCGTAGAGGAGGGAAGGGACAAACAAAAAGTGGATGAAATTAGAAGGGCGGCCATGGACGGAAATGCCGGTGGGAGGGCAGAAGGAATAGAGGGCGATGGAGGTGAGATCGAGGGTGGCGAGCTGGAAGGACGCGTCGGTGCAAAGACATTTGGGGAAAGTGGATGTGACCAGCGAAGAGAAACACACATGGGGAAAAACGATCATAGCAGACAACTCCATGTGATGTAAGTTTAACTTCTTTCGCAGCGTACGTAGCCAAACCGTGCGAATCGGAGGTGCGGGGGCTAAATCGGAGGTGACAATGGGCCCTCTCTGGCTTAGAAGAGGAAGAAGTCCGTTGTGCAGACCTTCCCATTATTAGCGGCAGCGTGGAAGCATAACATTGCTGGGAATAGGCACGCATTTCTGGAGTCGTTCTTCGTCGTCCGATTTCTGGAGGAAACGCGCCAACGTCTCTTTCTCTCTCTCTCTCTCTTCCATCGCCAGCGGTGGGGAGAGTCGCCGAGCCAATGGGTTTCAGGGCTGTTGTTTTTGTTGTTGGTCAAGATGTGAACGTGGCCCTAACATTCTTAAATCCCTTATTTGTCCCTGCGTGCTCTCTCGCTTCCAAAACATCGTTTTCTACGCCCCCGCAAACATCTCGGACTTCATGACGTTCCGCAAAGTGTCGGTGGGCCTCGAGCGGGATAATGAGGCCCGTGGGTTTTAGTGACTGCAAAAGGAGAACGTCGCAATGACTTTGCCAAGCACCCCGGGGGTGCTGAAGTGAGCACGTGGAGGCGAGTGGAAGTGTCGCTGGGTGCTGCGTGTGCGTGCGAGATGGGCGGGCGAGGATTTGGGGGGGGGGGGCTAGGAGAGAGAGGGGGGGCACGGCTGGGTGGTGGAGGGAGCCTGACGTTGTTTGGATTTTCTGCC